TGTAATTCATGTGATTTTTAATTTTTCACTATGTAAAAAATCGTGTCACACCGGGTACTTTAGTCAGTGCACTACGGGGTATTCGAATATGCGGATTGCAGATCAATCCGTACGGATACGGATTTGATTTTGTGTAATCCGTATTATACGGATTTGAACAGTTCGCATCACTATTCTTGAGAATGAATTATTTGAAGATCAAATGCAATACGGTGCAATAAATTTAGTTTATATTTTTATTTATTTTTCTAGACAAAAAATTTTGAACCAAAGAACCCTTAGAAGTATACTGAAGAATAAGGTTGTAATTTCTGAATATATTTTTTGTCATACTATAGTATCTTAAGACCAATATTGCAATCTAAACTACTGTTCTATTTTAAAGATGCCTCCCCAAAAAATACTGGCTAATAGACATGCTTTACCTATTTATATTATAAGATACTAATAAAAAAATTCAACACGCATAATTCAAATGCTATTCAATATGCTATTCAACTTCTCATTCAAATTATCAAATTATTTTGTGCCCATGAAGTCATATAATAATTTAGAATAACAGATTGTACAGTCAAAACTTCATAAATGCACACTCCATAAATGCACGGACTAAGTAAAAACTCTCTAAATACATGGTATAGTCTGGTCCCAACTCATAAGAGCTATATATAATTTCTACTCTATAAATGCACACACTTTCTAAGTGCACTATTTCAAAATTTTTTCCTATGGTCCCGACGGCAGTGTATTTACAGAGTTCTGACTGTATACGTACATATGATTGGCATTTACGTTAAATTTTTTTAATTATGACTAGTAAGAGTATAGCGTTATAGATCTAAAAGCTTGTTCAAAATGTGATGCGAGTATTAGTTCTTAACTGATTCTCTAAAGTATAAAATGGCAATACCACTACGCTCTACTAAATACATCTATTGACTTTGTTGTGATAATTTTGTATTACCAGCATCAGGATATTCATAGATCAAAATTAGAAAAAATTCAATGTTAATTTTTTTTTTAATTGTTAAATAAAAATAACTAAAGAATTATCTTGAAAATTTATCTGTAAGGTTGCTTTTTTGTATACTAATAAAAAAGTACTGACAATATTTTGATTAAGAGTAAAGTTATTTGTCACATAAGTGACAACGGCTTATGCATCACCAAGCCAATCAGATTTCAGGATCTCATATAACATAAAATGATCAGAAAATTCAAAACAAACGTTCGTTTTATTAAAAAAACTAACAAAAATCGCTTATTACTCAAAACCTGCATAGGAAATCACCCTAACCCTAAACTAACAAAAACTAAACTTTATCGATACCGAGATGATATACCTGTGATACTATCACATGCGTGATCTTTAACTTTTTCCTTGATTAAAGTCATATTATTAATCTAACCCGAAATACAACTTTCTGAACAAAGTAATATTGCCTGTTAGAGTGACCAAATATGTGATATGTATATATATGTACATGAGATAAATAATGCCAAAAAGCTTTTCTCTTGGACATCACTCCATTCAACCATTCAAAAAAAAAAAAGACAATACATACATATATATGTACGCTATACATTTTATTACTAGATAATAGAAATTGGAGAAAAAATTAGTAAATAAGTTAATGGCTCTAAATAACCTTGAATAAGTCAGCTTTTTTATACTGTGTAATTATGTTATATAAACTCTCATTCAAACTAAGAATACCTGATTATATATTTTATAAAGAAATTATTTGATAAATATTATTAATGACAAGAACCAGACAAAATACTAGAGCTTTTGATATACTAATTAATCAAGTCTATTGTAATAAAAACTAGCAGTACAGATTTTGTATTTAGATTGGCAAATCATTAAATTTACTAGCGAAGACTAGTGATCAAAAAATTGATTCATTTCATATACCAACTATTTTTTTCTAGGAATTTATATATCAAACGATTAGTTTAATATAATTAAACAAAGTTATGTTTTAAATTTTTTTTACTTTTATTTATTTTTTTAATTTGAACAATCTTATAAAAAGTTCTTACTAATTTAATTAAAAATTTTAAACCGTAACTTTATTATATTAAACTAATCATTTGATATATAAATTTCTAGAAAAAAATTAGTTAATATATAAGATGAATCAATTTTTTGTCACTAGTTTTCACTAGTAAATTTAATGATTTGCTGATCTTATATAAAATTTGCACTATTAGTTTTTATTAAAATATCCTACATAGATTTGATTAATTAGTATATTGGAAGCCTCAACAGAATACAGTCTTTAAATTCTAGTATCATGTCTAATAAATTAATATATCCTAATAGATTATGAACAGTAAAAGTTTCATATTAATATCACATATTATCTTTTATAAAATAAAAATAATAATATATGAAGTTTACAAACAAAGGACATTATAATAGACACATACATACGTATAGTATAGCATCTAAAGTTATTGTTTGATATGATATTCAAAATATAAATGGGGATCTGATTATTAAACAATAGTTTATGTTAGCATACAATAACAATATTTATGAATAAATAGAACTAATAAATTGTAATATAAAATCTTTATTTAAATTGCAAGAAATATACTTTCTTCTTTTTATACTTTTTTTTTTACTTTAAGCTTTTTATTTTTTAATTTAAGCAAAATCATAATTTAGTTCAAAAACTTTTATTTAAAATATAACAATGTTAGATTTTGAGTCTGAAGAAAATTTGCAAATTGAAACATTACTAGAAGATATTGAAGTATTAGAAGATGATAATTCTCAGCCCAAAGGTTCCCAAACCAAACAAAAAAATACTCAAAAAAAATGTGTTGTTGTAAAACAAATAAAGTGTCTGCAAAATGTTGAAAATATTTTGAAGTAGAAAAAGAAAAACAATATACAAATATATAATTAAAAAAAAAATGGAAAAGAAAAAATTTGTGGACAATTATATAAATACCTCTCTGGGGGTTAATGTTCAATATGAATTTATATCTTGTAGATGAATATGATATAGCTGATTTTTAAAAAACTAGATAAATAATAAAATTCATATTTTGTAATAAAATATCCTGAATCTTTAAATATTAGCAGAAACTAGAGCTTACTAGTTTTTTATTTGAGTAATATTTGAATAACTTAAATTAGCAAATATTTGTTAATATTATTTGAATAAGTACTATTTATTCAAATAATATATAATATATAGTTGCTATATATAAACTAGCCAATAACTAATATTTCACATGATAAATAATAAAAATTACTCAAATAAATTATTCAAATAAAATTTTCTTATTCGAATTATTCATTAGATAATTCTTTATTCAAATATTTACCTAATACAAAGATTATTAGAATAACAAATACAAATTTGAAGCTCTAGCAAAAATTCTGTTTCTGCTTGTATATATAAGAATTGGGATATTTTTACTTAATACTCGTGATCTTGATAATAGTGATCGAGGTGCCGGTATTTATTATAAAATATAACTAATAAATATAGTTAATATATTTTAGAGTTATATAAAGGCTTCAGGTTCTTAGCAAACCATTACCTATATATTACAATCTGTTGTTCTTTACAAAGAAATCAAAAAGCTTAATTGTTACAGAATGGCTTATAGTTGATAATTGATCATTTGAGGTTATTAATAGAGAAAGATTTTATATATTTATGTTGTATATAGACCCTGCTTTTCATCAGCCTTCTTATAAATCATTAAAAAAAGAAATATCTTTGGCAAATATAAATGCAAAACAGCAAATCAATGATCTTTTAGTAAAAAATAGTGTAACAATTTCTCTAACTACTAACCTTTGGATGGAAAAAAATAAAACTTGCTATATCAGAATTACTGCATATTGGTTGAATGATCAGTTTAAATTAAATGAGATCTTGCTTTGTTTGAAACCAATGCTACACCTCTATACAGACCATGTTATTAGAAAATTTCTTATTAATAAGACTCAAGAATTTACTATAGAAGATAACATTTTATGCATTGTTATAGATAATAGCAGTAATATAGTATTAGCTATAAGAAGTTAAAGTGATGTACAAAGATTGTCCTGCACTGCACATACTTTATAGCTATCAATCAACTGTGTATTTAAAAAAAAGTGTCAATATATCCTTCGTATTAAAAATTTGGTTAAATTTTTTGACTTATCTAAGCAAAGTTAGAGATTAGATAATGCTCAAATTGAGAAGTATAATAATATGAAAGAAATATCTTATAATAATCTAACTTAATCTGATGAATCTAATAATAATAATAATTCAGAAAATGAGAATAATAAACAATAGTTAACACTAAAATCATTACTAACAAATTTATATCTATATTAAGAAATATTAAAGATATTCCAACTTGTTGAAATTCCAAATTTCAGTTGTGGAAAAGGTTAATTGAGTTGAAATCTGCAATCCAGTGGCTTTCAGTGACATTACTCCTTAAAAAAGACCCAGATGCACGAAAAGACAATAAAAAACTACAAAAATTAATACTACAAGAGAATGAATAGAAACTTGTTCAAAAGTTAGTTGATATGTTAAAACCGTTCAACAGTACTACTGAATATTTTAATGATACACAATATTCTACAATAGCATCTGTTCATCCCTTAATGGAAGTAATGAAATTTCATTATGCACAAAATGTAGATATTGAATATAACTATAAGAATGAAAGTATTTTTCTTATTTTTATAGTAATATTATTATGGTGATATTATCATTATTACAGTAGTTTTCCTTTATAATTACACAAACTATGTGATTATATAAAAGTTTTATTATGAGTTTGGAACTGGATTTCATTTTTTGAATCTGTATTAAATTTAATTATAGATGTTTTCATAAATCTTGGGACAATGATAAAAATTGACCAATGATTATTTGGCTAAATTCAATAAGTTTTGAATTTGGTATTATTAGAATTACTATATATAATGCCAAATATCCAATACCAATAATACTAAATTCAAAACCTTATCGAATTCGGCCGAAATAACTTTTATCAGTTGTTCCAGGATATATGAGAACAGCTGTAATAAAAATATGTATCGAACTTTAATCCGAATTTATTTTATAATATCCAATTGTGCCTAGGTTAATAGTAGCATCTTGTATATATGTATGAACATATACTCAGCGAAAAATATTTGACCACTTAAAAACAAAAACTATTTTATAGTTGTAGAAATTCTACAAATAGTCGAATACTTTTGTTCTTTATACAATATGAGTATTGCAGATTCGATAAATTCAGTTTTATATTCAAATTTAAATCAAATCTAAAGATCGAATCTAGTTCCAAACTCTAGATGTACTTATAATAAAGTTTTTTTTATGTTTATTAGTAAAGTGTTGCAAATATTGACGTGATTATAAAAAGAATTTTACTAAGATGTGTGATTATAGAAGGATGACTATAGATAAAATTAAAAAATTTAATATGCTAAATAAAGATTTATTTGACATATCAAATTTTTTAATTTTGACTAATATATGTTTACCAACTTAACCTAATATTAAATGGTTTAAATCTTCAAGAAATATCAAATTTTGATTCAAAATATGATTTATCTGATGAAGAAAAAAGTAATATATCCTTTGATACTATAGAAATCAATCAGAAAATAATCCTGAATTAGTTATAAAAAACATACAAAATATCATTTATAATTCACTTTTTGAATATTAGGATCACTCATCACAAATTTGCCTTCTCATCATGTTATTAGACCCAGACTGAAAGAAATGGCCTATGAAAATTATGAAGTTTGTGATAATACCATTGAAGAATACCGGCTTCAACTTCATCAATTGATGAATATACAATCACCAACACCAGAAGAACATGCTAGCTCAGAAAATCTCTCTTCCAATAATATGTTTAGGGACCTTATATTTGGTAAATCTCAAGGATCACAAGAATCTATAGATGACTTGGATTATTACCTTGACATTAGATGTACACCATTGGCTTCTCCTGATTCAGATCCACTTTTATGATGGTGATAGCATCAAGTTCAATTTTCATTTCTCTCAAAACTAGCTAGAAAATATCTTGGTGTCCCCGCCACTTCTGCTCCTAGTGAGCGTATTTTTTTTAGATTTTGGCAATCACATTATTCCTCGACATTCTAATTTAAAACAAAAGGATAAATTGAAAATTGACTAGATTTTTATTTGAACCTATATAAATATATAATTACCATTTGAACAATCGAACATTTTGTATAATGCAATCAAATAACAAAAAAACCTTTGAAATAAAGAAGATTTTTACAAACCCTGGTTGAAACTTTTATTAATAACTAAGCTTTTGCTTTTCTTAACCATGATTATTTACACCCGGAAAATCATAAAACCTATTCCTCATATATGGCCAGATTATAGGTTTATGGCCAAGAATTTTTCTTAACTACCTTTCTAAGAAAAAAAAAAAATTAGAATCTTTACTCATGCGCAAGGGAGTGTTAAAAAAAAATAAAGTTTATACGTATCAAACCCAGAAGAGGTACAAGTTATACTTGTGGTCAAAATCTTTCTGCCATTTCAGCCACGTGGGAAATATTTAAAGCGAAGTTCTCAATAATTTGTAAATATAGTAGAAATAAGGCTTTATATTAAGCCGGATCTGCAGAAGCTTGTGCAAAACCTTTGGTATTTTGGCTATTTTTCCAAAAAATTCAATAGACTAGAATTTTTGGCAATCCGTACTTAATATACAGCCGAAACTTCAAAGATCTAGCCGAACTTATTGCTGAAATAGCCATTGCTTAAGATTTAAATAAGCTTCTTGCACAATCTACAAGTGATTTTACTTTTAGAACCCGCAAAGTGGCCGAAATGGAAAAAAATTTGGACACGAATAGTACAAGTAGTGTAATGCTGATTTGTATTACTATCTTAGTTACGGTTTTGTTACGGTTGACGGTTAACCGACTATCAACCGATTACGTCGGATTAATCGGTTAAGCATTTTTCTATCCGACTCAACCGAATTTTCCCGGTTCGGTTCGGTTATCCGATTATGGCTTAACCGGTTCAAATCACTAGTCGAGAAAACTTTGCTCAAAGTTAAAAAAAAATTTAAAGGTAGATAGTTAAATGATAGGCGGGATGAATTTATCTAAACTTAAAAGTTTTCTCGACAACCACCTATGCAAATTAGATAAATTTTTTTTTTACTTTAATTACACGAATGTGTAGAATTAAAATAAAAAACATTTTCATTGAATTTGATGAGGTTGTCGAGAAAACTTGGTTCTCGATAACCACCTAGCAAATTAGATAAATTTTTTTTTATTTTATTTTAATTCTACGAATATGTAGAGTTAAAATAAATAAAAAAATTCATTAAATTTGATGAGGTGGTTGTCGAGAAAACTTCACTCAAA